CTATTGTGGGTTGGTCAGTGACAAGTCATATTAGCAAGTAGTATGGTACAGTGGCTTCTTTGCTGGAATTATTTTTGTTGTTATTTATTGATTTTTTTTTTTTCTTCAAAAGACAATTTTATTCTAGTTATTTACATTTTCTCTGTTCTCTTTCCACATTAATAAAAGCCATTGTCTGTGGCTAAACTCATCACTGCCAAAGTGGAGGTTCTCAACACATTGATCATCTGTCTGTTCAGAGTTAAATGAGTCTAGATTATAGTCATTGAACCTGCAGGGATTGATCTTATTCAGACTCATTTTTGCAGAGCTCTGACTCCCATACAAACGCTTGTCCTATAGTGAGGAACAGCTGTGTTGTGGAAAAAGCTTTAATATGAGCTTTTAGTTGTTATCTAGATTGTTATCTTACCTTCTTATTTAGTTCTGTTGCCACTGGCATTTTATGAGACTCTTGTTTAAAGAAAAGACAAAAGAAAGTGAACGAGCCACCAATATCCCCTCATCTATGGATGTCGAAATTTTAAAGAAGATAGTGTCTGATTAAACTGTTGGTCTGAAAGAGGTCAGAAAATGATGAAAAATGTCCGAACAGTGTCCCACAAGCCCAAGGTGACGTCCTTAACACAATCCAAATACAGTCAGTTAAGTCTCATAGAGAGGTACAGAAACCAGAAAATAGTCACATTTAGCTGGAATTAGCGAAATTTTCCTTAATTAAAATAGTGGGTGGCGTAATCGTTATAGCTCTAACTTATTTGGACGTGTTCTTTTTTTGTATTTTTTTCATGTCTTTGTTTTACAGTAGAGATACAAAAATAAACAATGTACTATATCCCCTTCTGTCTTAATTTGCATTTGTTTACTTCAGGTGAGGTAATTCACAAACTTCACCTACTGGCTCAGTTTAAATAACTGTTCTCTTTCCACATTAATAAAAACATTTGAAGGATGTTGTTGAACAACTGATTATTTTCATTTTTCCTAATTGTACATTTTTAACTGACATCAATGCCTTTAATTGTAAAAGAATATATTTTCACTTTGGTCCATATTTCCATCGCAAGTTTGGTCTTAAATTTTTTTTAAGGTGGTATTAAAAAGGTCTTAAAAAGTCTTAAATATAACTTCCTCATACCTGTAGTCACCCTGTAATAATAAAAACTGAAAGCACTTGTGCCAATTACATATGCAACACAATGCATTTATAACTTTAAAAAAGATTGCATCCTCCCCTTCTGTGTGAATGCAGCAGTTATACAAACAGCCCAGCCACTTAAAATCATTCAAACTCAAAGAATTTTGGACCAATTTTAGTGCAGTTTGGATCGTTACAATTTACAGAAGTGTGTTTACAAAAGAGAATACTTCATTCTTCATACCATTTTTTTTGTAAATGGTAAATGTAATATTTCTATATTTAAAATTGTCTTTTCCCATCTCTACCATCCATCTAATATGATGTGAACACATTAGCCACGGCAGTGCTTTGAGCTAAATACTAAAGTCAGGCACTAATGTTATGTAGGTGTAATGTTTGTCACCACCCTAGTTTAGCCTGTTAGTATGCTTACATTTGATAATTAGCACAATAAGTACACTCGAGGCTTATGGGAATGTCATCAGTTCTGGTCATAAAAAAAAGTACTGACAAATTGAAATTTAACCTAAAGGCGCTAAATAAGGGATCGTCTAAGTTTTTACAATCCATGCTGAGGATATTCTATTCTATAGTATTCCATCAAATAGCTGTTAAAATGTTTTAGTCTGGATCAAAGTGGACTGACTAGCTGACAGAACAATGTAGAGTCATGCTGCCTGTATGCTAAAAATATATATTAAACTAAAGATACATGTTCCTGCTTGTGTTTATAGAATGTGATTAAAACATCTCATCATACCAATTTAAATTGCAGACTTTATGTAAAGAAACCAATGTCAGAAATGAATGAAAATTAAGCATCATTTTTGCAATGTGAGAGCAATAATTTCCTTCTATTCAATTTTTTGTTTGCATACATCCATTCATTGTTAAAGACTAATAGCAGCAGTGAAAGAGATGGTGATTTTTGCAGTACCTGAATCTTACTGTATTGAGATTACAGGGCTATTTGCCCAAACAAACATTGCAATAATAACTTGCTGTGATGCTTTTTTCCTCTCTTCTTCACAGTATATGATTGCTCTGCCCCTGCACAGCTGTCGTCTGTGGATCTTCCTCATGATGCTAGTTGAGGTGAGAATATCACACCAGTGGAAGCTGGTAATTATTCACCTGAATGGGGTCAACAGGCACTGATTGCTTCTACTTAGATACTAGAAATGTTGTTGTCTAGTTTAGTCCATCAAGCTTTGACACTTATTTGACTGTTACCTAAATCAGCAGCTCCAACGCGTTCTCATTCCAACTTGCCAAATATCACTGCTTTGTAAGTAAACTTACGAGGTACCATAAACACTTCATTTTTATGTTTCTTTCCTTGAGTTAAGGCAATAGAAACACGTCGTTAGGTTTAGAAAAAACATCATGGCTTGGCGTGAAATAAGTACAGATGTTACTAATGTCATACAGCGTCACGTGACATACGTCACTACTGTAGCTACACATAATAGCATACTACATTGTTTATAAAATAACTCTATTGACTTAATTTCACAAAGGAAACAAACAGTGGGCTCCCAGGTGATAGTCTGGAGTTTGTCTAAGCCATCCACCTCCCCTCCCACCCTCTCGCTCGCCCTATACTTACTTTCTCACTCTTTATACTACTGTTATTGCCGGCATCATTACTGTTGCTTGCCGGTGCATATCATAATACCGGGAAAGGTGCCTCTCTGCATTTGTGTCTAACGCAAACGTCCACTGACAAAGCAGCAGTTTTTGACAAGTTCAGTTTTTGCCCACTGCATTAACAACTTCCGCCACCTGGTACATATCATACTGCCACAAAAGGTGCCTCTGTGTGTTTGTTTCTGATACCAAGATCACTGACAAAGTGGCTGTGTTTGATGAGCTGGGAATGAGAATGGGCGGGCAGCTCTACAAAGTCCTCAGCTTTATAGTGACTTGGGGCTCTTTGTTTCATCGGGCCGCAACTTAACTGTTTTGGTTCACTCTCAATGCTCTCATAATGTACGCAGGCAGTCACAAATATTTACCTGCTGGAAAGAAGTATCTTTAGATCTGAGGACATAACTAGAAGGACCTGTGTTGCTCTAAATATTACATGATTTCCTCTTGATTTTTTGCAGATTAAATAATAAAAGCAGGGTTTTATTTCCCATATCTTTTATGGTAAGGACACACCCAGAGTGTTGTGCTAGTCACAGCTGACCTTTCAGTTTTTATTAGAGGTGGTGAATCATTTGCAAAGAGCATGACGTGATCACAGACATAACACTACATCAGACCAAAGGTCTGCAATCTATGTTAGTTATAAAGCAAGCGCTGAACCCATCAGCTATTTTCTGACGACAGTAAAGCCTCGTAGGGCGAGGGCAAATATTTTGGACTGATCCGGGGTAGCCAGCTGATAGATTAGTTGTAATGCTAAACAGGAGCAATGAAGGCAGTAACCACGGCACTTAGACTGGCAGGGCTATTTACAGTGTGTGTCCACAAGTGGTCAATGGTGTGAGGAGTCTGCTCTGTTTTTTAACCAGATATAAGTATTTCATGAACATAACAAACAAACCTTGTCACATGAGAGAAAATAAATAATTTTTAATCATGTCTCTTCTGGCCTTTTAACATACCTTGTGTACTGTAGGCTGGGCTAAAAAGAGTCTTCACTAAACCACACTGTGTCCTCTTCCTCCAGCTCCTGGTCGCAGTATTCCTCGCAAACTATTTCCAGGGAAACTATGGCAACGGCTTAGTGTGGCTGTGCCTGCTGCTGGGCCCTCTTCTGGCCGTGAGCACCTACTTTCACGACCACTACATCAGCCTCCATCACCATCATCATCAGTCATTGTGCTCACCGCTGACATCCGGCCATGGTCTTCCCGGTGCAGTTTTCCTGCAGCTTCACTGATCACTGAGAAATGTCTGAAAGAAACTCTCTCTTATTGTACTGTATTCACAAATAGACCAAGAGGATACAGCTGTAGTCCAAAGCTCAGTGAAGGCTGCTCTCGTCTGTCCAAGGATCCATTTTGATTACTGGAAAAACTTTTGGAGTTATAGTTATCTTCTACCCAATTCAGCAATATAAATATGGAGTATATGTTGTGTAGACTCATAAATGGACCTATTGTATATGAATATACTTGACTTTATACTTGAATGTTCATGAATATACTTACACATCTGACAGATGTTAATGCAATAAACTACTGACTGTACTTCATAGCCTACATTTGTATGTCTGAAGCTTAATTGTGACCAAAAAATGACCTGCAACATGACGAGGCTGCAGCAATCTCAGCCAGTGTGTTAGTCAGTGAAGGTCTGTTTGATCAGTCCTGCTATAATGGTGTGAGTCAGCAGCACAGAAGATAAGGTTGCTGCTTGCACACTGCTGTGTCAACATGTGGTTAAAGGGCCCTAGTTCATTTAAGTTTACCGTAAGTTTCGTGGACACGATCCAATCAGGAAATATGGGGAATGATTGTACCTCATGGTTCAATGACTCCAAGTGTGGGATGATTTATGCCACGTCTACCAGCCACATCAAGGTTGCATAGGCCTTAATGATATTTAGATACCCTCTGGCTTGTTCTCATAGTTACTTTGCCATATTTTATTTTATAGCATATAAAGGTTCATTGAGGACTACCACTGACAAATGTGTGCTGTTCTTCTTACATCTTTTGTTAACTCTAAATGGGATCAAAATGGTGAGCCTGCACAGGTTTCTATATCCTTTTCTAAAAACTGCTCATACATATATTTAAATACAACTTTTTTTAAGGAGCTCAACTTTGTCATGTTTGCCCTTTATTTAGGGTTACAAATAACACGGGATATCTGGTTCACCTACATAAACCCCTTGAGAAGGGTCTTGGTCTGCCGATTTTGATACACTACAACTGGGCAGCTAACTCCAAGGCTCCTACCTACTGGAATCAGGAGGTGCAGAGGCGTAAAGAAATCCTTCATGACACCACTGCTGTGAAAAATTCTTCACTTCCTGCTCTTTTGTTTTCTAGTTCTGCTTTGGTTTATAAGTCAGTTCATCAAAACTTTACCTGAAGGAGTTCAAGATAAACAAGATAAAATTAGCTTGCAAAACTTGCCAAAATGTTTCCATACATGCTCCCACATGCCAAAATCACTCATTCAAGCCTGGACAGTTAGATGGCGTGTTTGCAGCCTCGAGGGAGAGGGGCATTAGAACTTTGTTAGATCTGAGCATTGATGGTCATTTTGTATCATTTATTCAATTTCAATCTTCCAAATCATGTTTTTCCAGATATCTTCAAGTTAGACATTATGTTAAGGACGAGTGCTCACAATACAGGTTAATTCAATATAAGGTGATGCATAGATTGCATTACTCAAAATCAAAAGTGTCTGTCTCAAATGTTGCTCTGCTAGGATCAGTTGCACATATTTTCTGGTATTGGCCGACATTATACAACTGTTGGACTGCACTTTTTGAGTGTCTCTCAAAAGCCTTTTCCAGGGACATTCAGTCCAACTATAACGTGGCCATCATAGATTGCTCTGCAGACTTTTGAGCTGCCATACAACATACAGATTGCTCTGCACTTACGTATGGTGGTTGCTAAGGAACTTATTCTCCTCACCTACAAGTCTACCACTCCACCCTGTCTGTGCATTGACTCAAGGAAATGTTGTCTATGATATAAATGGAAGGACTGAGCCTGCATAAATCCCATTAACAGAATAGATTTGAGAGAATCTGGGGATCTTTCTTGGCACAGTGTCATATCACCTTGCAACCACAGGGAGCTCTGATCTGCTCGGCTACAGGAGTGTGCCAGGAGTTTACCATGATTAATTCATTTTTTTTGTTTATTGGGTTTTTTGTTTGTTTGTTTTGGTTCCACGTCACACTTTTCTTTGTAATGTTTTGTAAGTTCTTTTAATTCTGTAATTGAACCTCTTCGTTGCAGAATACATCAGGCCTTTAATGCAAAGTGTCATCTCAGTGTCTGTTAGTGCTGCAGCACTAAAAATAGGTCTTCTCAAAGTCTTGTCCTGGACTCAACTGCATTCTTTCTCAGACAAATAGGATTCTGAATTTTGTATCAAGACCACTGCTGTAGGAATATCATTAAATTGCCTGTGCAAAATAAAAAATAAAGCTTGTTTAGTTGATTTCAGTTCCTTAGTGTTTGTTTCTGTTTGGAAAATACCCCTCACATAAAATTGTCCTCTGCAATGCCTTTTGATTATTCTATCAAGACATCATACATACATACATACATACATAAATACACATATACAGTATGGCAAAAAAAAAGAGATGAATGAAGAGGAATCTTCATTTGTTTTGTTTTGTGGGTGTTTTTATGGGAATGTGGATCTTTCAGGTGTCTGTAATGGTAAAGGTGATGATCAATACATGTAGCGTAGTCAGTGAGTGCTCTCCATCAGACTGCTAAATAACAGGACCCAAGATTGTTTGTATATCCATGGCCAGATTAACCCTCTAAGTCATGTATGTACACTGAACAAAAATATAAATGCAACACTTTTGTTTTTGCTCCCATTTTTCATGAGCTGAACTCAAAGATCTAAAACATTTTCTATATACACAAAAGACCATTTCTCTCAAATATTGTTCACAAATCTGTCTGAATCTGTGTTAGTGAGCACTTCTCCTTTGCTGAGATAATCCATCCCACCTCATAGGTGTGGCATATCAAGATGCTGATTAGACAGCATGAATATTGCACAGGTGTGCCTTAGGTTGGCCACGATAAAAGGCCACTCTAAAATGTTCAGTTTTATCACACAGCACAATGCCACAGATGTCGCAAGTTTTGAGGGAGCGTGCAATTGGCATGCTGACTGCAGAAATGTCCACTAGAGCTGTTGCCCGTGAATTGAATGTTCATTTCTCTACCATAAGCCGTCTCCAAAGGTGTTTCAGACAATTTGGCAGTACATCCAACCGGCCTCACAACCGCAGACCACGTGTTACCACACCAGCCCAGGACCTCCACATCCAGCATGTTCACCTCCAAGATCGTCTGAGACCAGCCACCCGGACAGCTGCTGCAACACTCGGTTTGCATAACCAAAGAATTTCTGCACAAACTGTCAGAAACCGTCTCAGGGAAGCTCATCTGCATGCTCGTCGTCCTCATCGGGGTCTCGACCTGACTGCAGTTCGTCATCCTAACTGACTTAAGTGGGCAAATGCTCACATTCGATGGCGTCTGGCACGTTGGAGAGGTGTTATCTTCACGGATGAATCCCGGTTTTTACTGTTCAGGGCAGATGGCAGACAGCGTGTGTGGCGTCATGTGGGGTGAGCGGTTTGCTGATGTCAACATTGTGGATCGAGTGGCCCATGGTGGCGGTGGGGTTATGTATGGGCAGGCGTATGTTATGGACAACAAACACAGGTGCATTTTATTGATGGCATTTTGAATGCACAGAGATACCGTGACGAGATCCTGAGGCTCATTGTTGTGCCATTCATCCACGACCATCACCTCATGTTGCAGCATGATAATGCATGGCCCCATGTTGCAAGGATCTGTACACAATTCCTGGAAGCTGAAAACATCCCAGTTCTTGCCTGGCCAGCATACTCACCGGACATGTCACCCATTGAGCATGTTTGGGATGCTCTGGATTGGCGTATACAACAGCGTGTTCCAGTTCCTGCCAATATCCAGCAACTTCGCACAGCCATTGAACAGGAGTGGACCAACATTCCACAGGCCACAATCAACAACCTGATCAACTCTATGCAAAGGAGATATGTTGCACTGCGTGAGGCAAATGGTGGTCACACCAGATACTGACTGGTTTTCTGACCCCCCCAGACCCCCCCAATAAAGCAAAACTGCACATTTCAGAGTGGCCTTTTATTGTGGCCAGCCTAAGGCACACCTGTGCAATATTCATGCTGTCTAATCAGCATCTTGATATGCCACACCTGTAAGGTGGGATGGATTATCTCGGCAAAGGAGAAGTGCTCACTAACACAGATTTAGACAGATTTGAGAACAATATTTGTGAGAAATTGTCTTTTGTGTATATAGAAAATGTTTTAGATCTTTGAGTTCAGCTCATGAAAAATGGGAGCAAAAACAAAAGTGTTGCGTTTATATTTTTGTTCAGTGTATGTATGTATGTAAGTGTATGTATGTGGTTGCTTTCAGGCACTCATCAATATATTTCTTATGCATGCACATGATAATCATAATTTGCATAAAGTCATACTGTACAAATCAGCTAGTACTCCTACTGTGGTAGAAGGTATGTAGGTCTACTGAGGTCTCCTGAAGTAGAAGACAGTCAGTCAGTGTCTCCCACTGATTATATCACATGGAAAAAATACATGAAACTACGAAACTCTCCCCATTATACAGTTAATTTAAAGGTGCTGTATGACATATTTTTCTATAAACTATATCTATAATCAAAGGAAAGTTGACTGTATGTTCAGTTCCCCTCAGCTCTGCAAAGTGTTTCAGTCAAGAGCTGATTTTGACTGTATCAGCATGAATTTGGTACACAGCCTTATAGGACAGAAGTACAAATTTCACCATAAATGAGCAAGATTGGTCAAAAAACATGGCCACCATCAATGAAAAAAACTCACAAAGGGTGAGGCTTAGCAGGAAATAGGCCATTACTCAAGTTGTCTTGGGGCAATTCTGATTAATCTTAGTGGAGACTTCCGGCATTAAGTCCTGAACATGTGCGGCAAGTTCTGTTCACATTTGATAAAGGGGGGAGCAGATGGCGTGACTTTGACTTCATACACTGTAATGATAAAACAAGTTTGTGATTGGTCTCACTCCTTCTTTAAACAAAATTAAACCAGCTGAAGTGACTTTGTTCAGCTTTGTGAAGCCAGATCATTGCCCAGTGTGGCTTTGGTTTTGGGCAACACAACTGCCTTCTTCTCGTGGCTGAGAAAGGGCTTGAACCGGGGATTGTCACTTGCAATGTCCATCATTAATTTTAATTATTCAAGGCCTTGTCTGACTCATCCAATGGTGAAAGAACAATCCTTGAAGCACCAATAAATCCTGCCAATGCAAGTCCAAATTTTGTATGGATACCTGGTGGTGTGAGAGACCTGTCTCCTAATTTGAGATTTTGGCAATGTTTCAGACAACCAGTATTTTGACTAACTGTTTCTAGAAAGGGGAACAAAAGAACAATTCTTCATTAAATGAACAAAAGTGCCTGCTTCTGACCAGAACTTCAAACACTAACTGTCATGCATGGTCCCATTCTCTTAAGTTTAACTGGTGTATAATAACAGTCTACCTATATATCATTTTGTAGTGAGTAAATTTGCCCACTGCATCTTTAACAGGCCACCTGGCATCTCTGGCCACTTTGTTTTTTCCATTTTCTGTATTTTCTTCTATTTTAAATTAAAAAAAAAAAACTCCACTCACTTGTATAGATTATCTATAGTGTGTTGATATCTTTGGGATTATATTATATTTTCTATATTTAAATTTATTCTATATTATATTATATTTTATATACTTTTGCTGTATATTCTAGTTTATCTTCATGTAAAGTGAAACGTAACTTTAATTTAATTTAAATTAAGGGATAATGAGTGATGATGTTTACCATTATTTATGACCCAGAATCCTTTGTGCAATGAAAAAGACATACCCAGGGTCACGTGATATTGTCACTGAAGCGGAAATGAAAGTTCACTAGCGACAGCAGCGGAGCACAGCTAAAAAAGGTACGGGAAAGATTACATTAAAGCCCTATTCATCAGTGTTTCAGTGAATGTATCGTGTTCTGATAGGAACCACGTAACTACCAACGCTGTTTTACTTGTTGTCAGGCGATTAGAACAGGTTTTATCGACATGTCCTTTTACAAAATCCCCCTACGAAGCTTGCTCGCTAACAGTTAGCTTCTTCTGGGTGAAGTTAGCTACAATTAGCCACATCAGACCGGAAATGTTGCGACTTGCCCTTCAAAATAATGGTCACAGTTGTGATATACAACATTTTGTAGAGCTACGTAATGCCCTTTTAACAGTAAAAAAATCGCTTCAAAATGTAGTGTTTTGTTTCCTGTGTGCATTGTAGTAGATGTACCATGTTGCAAAATAATAGTATTTGCCAGCTAAGTTGTAGGTGGAAAAAATGACCGGAAGTTAGTATTTTCTTTGCCGTGCTTGACAGTGATGCATACAAATACCTTGATCATCTTCCGTATTTGTGTTTCGTGCGCAGCAGCCAAGGGTATTTAAATACGGGGACAATGAAATGTGTTCAACAAGGACAGTTACATTTGTGTTAGTCTGTATGAAGTTTAGCCAGCATCCCCTGAGTAGCGAATTTCGTTAAGGCTGCGCAGCCGGTCAGCTTGTTCCACAAGGTTGATGGAAGATGCTGTGCGCTTTTGTTGTGATTGCTCCGATCTGATTGTCTACAGCCCGGAGACAGACCTCAGGTAGTCATTTGGTTAATACAGCTCGTACAGTAATAGGTCGCTTTGTTTATGGCTTGGTCACATCTGACCATGCATCACTGGGTTTTGTCTGGTCTCACACTGAGATGCCAACAGCAGTCACCTTGGTTGGGCAGCAAGTAACGATAATAGGATGACATCCCCTCCACAAACCAGTTTTAGGGTTAGGGCATTTACTTAGTATACAAAATGAAGATCAGTATTAACAACAGCCCCAGACTAGAGATGCAGAGTTGTGCTGCGCACTGTCCTTGCATATGCAGTCCCTTTTGCATTCAGTCCAGCAGGCTACATCTCTGACTTTGCTCAAGGTGATGTTGATAGGCTCTGATGAAAGTCTTGGCACTTGGAATACATTTTTACCTTTTTTAGAAATTTATTTGGCCAGGCTGCTAATTATACTTATAATATATGTTGCTGTTTTTTTAAGGGGATGTTCGATTGTTGCAATGAAGTGACAATATGTTGTAATATTGCGTGTGTGTGGTTGTGTTTCAGAGCTGTGAGGTCATGGCAGCTGCCAGCGTGAGCAGACCTGGCGGTGCCCAGACCACTGAAAAGTCTCAGTTGATCTTAAAAGGTAATGATGTGTTTTTTGTCATCTCATTGACTAACTGGGACACACTAATACAAATAATGGCATGGCATTTCCTTCCTAAGTGAGGATGAAACAGGAGAGATCCCCATACTGCAGTGTTGCACCCACAATGTGTGTGTTCTATCTCAGAAATTCCCACCAATGGAATAAAAACTTCAGCCATGGTGGCTCTGCACATAAGGCAGCATGTTATCCTCTGTCCTGTCTTTCCATCATAACATGAAAATATCCTCTCTGTATGGCGCACAAACTTGTCAAACCCTTTTCTCAGTTATAGGAACTTCCTTTTTAAAAATAATGAGTCAGCCTGACACCCCTCAGACTATGTTCCTCCTGCCAATTTTGCACTTATTACTGATGGTCAGAAGGCCATAACCTCTCTCTCATTGTTCACCCAGCAAACATGCTGTTCAGACAGGGTGTGCAGCAGTTTCACAGCAATTATAAAATGGGGAGGTTATCAGGACAAATCAGATTGTGTCAAATACATTTTATTTGTGTATATTGTATTTTGACTGTCGATTATACTTGCCTGACTTTTTGCAACCACCGTGAGGTGTTGTGAACACCACCTATCATTGCTTGTACAGTAAAGTGTGGCCAGTTGTTACTCAGTCAGACGTGAATCCCTGGTGATTGAGGTTGATTAACTGCTCAGATCAGATTTCTTTCTCTTTTTTTCTGGGTGTGTTTAGAATGATTTAGTGTTTCCGTTACAATACAGCACAAACAAGTCACCACTTTGAACTGACCTGCATGTGCAAAGTACCACTGGTAAAGGTGTAACATCCAGGCTTTCAGTTTCGTTGCTTGAGTTTTTGTTCGTATTAAAACAACATCCCAAACAGTTTTGTGGCCTCACACATGTTTGTCCAACAGCTGTACACCTCCATCACAGCTGTTGCCTGTACAAAGGACAAATCAGATTACTGCAAAATTTGCATGAATTTCTGATGAATTTTCAGGTTTAGGAAACACACCAAAGATCAAAGTAAGAATGGAAAATATCCAGTTCGGGGTTTTTTTTTGTTTTCTCACAGCATCTTTAAAAAAGAACAAGTCAGAGTCACTTACAGTATGAGGGGCGAAATGCAGATTTATTCCACTCTTATCTGCAGGGTGAAATTATTAAGTATGAATGTAGAGTGATAATGAAAATCAACCATGCTGGTCTGGTGATTACTGTCTCTTGTGCTTCATGCTAACACCTTTGCATACATTATATATAGGCTGATGATAGTATTTTGCATATAATATGTCACCCTGCATTTCCCTTTACGCACATTGTAGTTTTGTGTTTTAACATAAATCCATCCATCCATCCATCCATTTTCATCCGCTTATCCGGGGCCGGGTCGCGGGGGCAGCAGGCCAAGCAAAGCACCCCAGACAGCCCTCTCCCCGGCAACACTTTCCAGCTCCTCCTGGGGTACCCCAAGGCGTTCCCAGGCCAGACGAGATATTAAGATTAAGATTAAAGTTCCACTGATTGTCACACACCTGAGTGTGTGAAATTTGTTCTTTGCATTTGACCCATCCCCTGAGGGAGCGGTGAGCAGCAGCGGTGCCGCGCTTGGGAATCATGTGGTGATCTAACCCCCCAATTCCAACCCCTGATGCTGAGTGCCAAGCAGGGAGATATGTAATCCCTCCAGCGTGTTCTGGGTCTGCCCCAGGGCCTCCTACCAGTGGGACGTGCCCGGAATACCTCCAGCAGGAGGCACCCAGGAGGCAGCGGCTCTACTCCGAGCTCCCTCCGGATGTCCGATCTCCTCAGCCTATCTCTAAGGCTAAGCCCAGCCACCCCACGGAGGAAACTCATTTCCACCGCTTGTATCCGCGATCTCATTCTTTGGGTCACTACCCAGAGTTCATGACCATAGGTTAGGGTTGGGACGTAGATGGACCAGTAAATTGAAAGCTTTGCTTTCTGACTCAGCTCCCTCTTCACCACGACGGACGCACGATGCCTCCTTGAACTCCCTCACTTGAGGCAGTAACTCTCCCCCAAATCGGAGAGGGCAAACTACTGGTTTCCGACACAAGACCATGGCCTCAGACTTGGAGGTGCTGACTCTCATCCCAACTGCTTCATGCTCGGCTGCAAAACGCTCCAGTGCATGCTGGAGGTCATGGTGTAATGGAGCCAACAGAACCAGATCATCTGCAAAAAGCAGGGATGCAATTCTGAGGTCCCCAAACTGGACCCCTTCCTCCCCCAGCTGCGCCTTGAGATCCTGTCCATGAAGATAACAAACAGGATTGGTGACAAGGGACAACCTTGGCGGAGGCCAACAGCCACCGAGAACGTGGTCGACTTCACGCCGAGTATGCGGACACAGCTCTCACTTTGGTCATACAGAGACAGAATGGCTCGTAGCAGCGAGCCAGGAACCCCATACTTCCGTAGTACCCCCCACAAGACCCCTCAAGGGACGCTGTTGTAAGCCCTCTCCAGGTCCACAAAGCACATGTAGACTGGATAGGCAAACTCCCACGCCCCCTCCAGCAGCCTTGCAAGGGTAAAGAGCTGGTCCACTGTTCCACGACCAGGGAATCTGAGGTTCGACAATCGGTCGGAGCCTCCTTTCCAACTGAAATGTTTAACATAAATGTTATGTTCAGGGGCGTCGGTGGCTTAGTGGTAGAGCAGGCGCCCCATGTACAAGGCTGAAAGGAAAAAAAGTTATGTTCAAACCTTTCTAGTCAATCCTAAAATGAATACAAGGGCACCAAATGAACGCGACAGAGAAAAAGCGTTTCTTTGCCCCAAAAGGGGGCTACGTCTTGCCAATGATGCAATGCCAATGTGGTTTATGTATACCTTGTCATGTTAAAGACATTCGGTCAAGCAGCGCAGCACTAGATTTTAAATTCATAATACAAGGAACATATTTCGCATGACTTTAGACACGTTTGCAGATTTTTGTGAACATATTTTAAACAATAGCAAAATAATGTATATTCAAAACTTTTCCAAAACATTCTGTTCATTACAAATCATTTCCAAGCCTGGAAAACAGTTTTTCTAATTTCACCTTGGGAACTTTGTTCTATCACCCTTTAAAGGGATACTAACAGTATTAAGGCGCCCCCCCCATGCTGCCAGCTGCGGGAACTCCCTGTCTTTCCGTGTGCCAAAATCTGTTGGATGACTGGTTTTGCATCTTTGATGATGTGAATGAGTTCCCAGAGATGGCAGCATGGGGGACTCTTTAACACTGTTCATCTGCACACATTTCCCACGCTGCAGTGACAGAGATCAAGTTAAAAATCGGCAAAGTATTCCTTTAAGTTATCCAACATGTTAGCAGATTTTTACACATCCATCACATATGGACCATTGTCAGCTTCAAGCCATGGTTTGGCCATCTGACAAGTATAAGTCTAATATTCACTTCTTTTAGCTCTGTTTTGGTCTCCACCAACTCTTGAGACCCCTGACTAGAAGCTACAGGCCTGCTTTTCTGTGGGTTCATCACAAGACCCAGGTCATATACAAGTGTGATTCATTGTTGCATTTGAAGTATTGATTCAAGCTGCCTTAGTACATTTTTTATTGGAGATTTATTTGCAAAGACCACATGCATTGGCGTTTTTAATTGGCAAGACACAGCAATGCACCTAGTCTCATGACTAGGCTGCCAGAAGTTAAATTAAGAATAAGAAGTGCAATTCCCATGAAGAAGGAAGTTTATGCAGGCAAAAACAGTTTTCTTCTTCTTTTATTGGTGTGGCTTCTTTTTGTTGTTTTGCAACGCTGAATGAGTTAGTGCTACTGCCTACGCAGAGGACATCAGCTGAGTAGGCAGTCCTTCAGTGTGGCCGAGGACACATTAGCATACACACTGCAGAAAGAATGTGACTGTATGTGGCCAAGACCACATCCATACTGCCCCTGTCAGAGACCCCTCAGTCAACTGAGATCGCTTGCAGTCTTTTTTTATTTTTTGCTAATCAGTGTGCTGTGCATTGTACTTCTGGGGATGTTTTGGTCCCCAGACTTTGCCGCGGAGTGAGCGCTCTTCACTGTGACGCTATAATTTGGAACAGACAGCTGCAGACACAATGCAGCAGCACAGAGGAGGACAAATTTTCCACCTTAAAGCCGCAAGATAGTGCTGGCAAAGAGCCATGTTGCACATTTGCAATCTGTTGTCAGTGCCGTTAGCTTGTTTACTATAATACATGAATGCCCTGTCACTCTGAAGGTGCTGCTGAGCCCTGGTTAAACTTTAAAAACTTCACATGGAAAATAAACCAAATTGCTGAATATTTATGTTAAATGGCCAAATCTGATTTGACTGACATAATTCTGAGTCGGGTACAGCCAGCCCTAATTCACACCTGTACTTTAAGCTGTCCACTTGTGATCCATTAACTCAAGACGTATATTAATATCACGTGTAAACAGGGCCTATTTCTGTCTGCTGTTTGGTGCTGAACTGGTTACAGTAGGTAATTGAAGCTTTTCACTAAAACATTATGAGAGTGCTGAGAGTGAACCAAAACAGTAATGTTATGGGCCGGACAGTTAAAAAAATTAGCTGAAGTTTACAATAAAGCTCTGTAAAGCTCAGGGCATAATTTAGGTCATGACTACAAGTTGTGATTTATCATGTAACATGCACTCTTGGGCATTTTTGATATAGGACATTGCACAGTGCATGTTGTAGGTACCCTCCTCTCTCACCAGCTACTTTGTTGGTTACAGTGTTGGCACAACATCTAGAAATGAAAAGATAATGTAATAAACCAAATTATCCATTAATGGTGTAATATCATTCAAGTTTATGGAGGCTATACTTAAGTCTTGGCATGAAGCACTAGAGTTACATTGATGTTTTTTGTGTGTGTTTCCTCAAAGCCTTATTTTCATATAAACAGGCCAAAAAAGTACAATGTGACCTACGCCTTTCTTTTTCCTCCTTTCTACTCTACCGGAATTATTTCACTCAATCACAGTTCAGTCACTGTGATTGTTTGAGCTCTGACTCACCTCCCCTTTTACCTCACTATTGATCTTCCCTCACCCGCTGTTTACCTCCCCCCAACTTCCTCTCACTTTGGTGAGACCTACTTTTTATTCTTCCATTGCTGGCGCTCTACCACCTCTCTGTGTCACTTCCTTTTTATCTTCAGAGGTCTGCTAATGTCTCGTTTGTGATAGGAAGGCGTACAGAAGCCTTTATCTCTGTCATCATTTATTCATCCAACCGTCGTCCTGATCAGACGCATCCTGAGGAACACTGCCAGGCCTGTGTGGTCTTCAGTTTGCAATCCAGAAGTGATTCAGGACAAACAAATCGGCTCTCTTATGACTGATGCATGCTGTAACAAGATTCTCAGCAGACCTACAAGAATTCAAGGCCACTAAGCCTGTCTAAGCTCAGCTGTAGGTTTTTACCAGAGTTGCAGAGTGTTGGGATTTACTGAAATATCACGTAATATAGAGAGATGTATTCAGAAAGGGTCAGAGTTTCAATTCTCTGTAAGAAGCTATTTACTTTAACACAATACAGCAGTTATACAACTTCTTTCATTCACACTCCACACTCCCCTCCAGTGTCCACACAATTGTTTCTCGGTTGAGGCCTCATTGTAACCATTTAATTATTTCCCTAAACCTCAGTCTCATGAAAGTGAAAGAAAGTGGTATGGCAGATGTTTTTCTTTCTTCCACTAGAGGGTGATGTTTATATTTGTCTGTTGGTTTGCACTTCCACCAACACACAAGTTACGACCCAAATCCATACAACTTAGGCGACTAATTATAAGCAGGTTCTGAGTATGTAGTATGAGGAATGACAAAAAAAGTGTACTCAAAACAGTCAGTATGCCTGCATAAAAAAACAGTTGAAGGACATAATATTTTCCCACAAGGCAATTCATAAAGGAATATGACACACAGCTGGAGGAAAAGTAAAGCTCATTGTGAATGGTAGTAAAACGGGTCCAGGAACACCTCAGAAAACAAAGCTAATGCTGATGTTTTAAGCTGTCTGTTTGTTTAGCTGAATTGGCAAGGGCATGTTCAAATTGAAGTTTGATTATATATATATATCTGAAGGTGGTATTATATAATTTATAATTACATAACACTTTACTTTTTTTTCTTTTTTTTTATACAAACTGCAGAAACGGTATACTGACAGTGATGCGGACAGAACCAAAATCAGTATCTTCATTTCTGACAGAGAACAGATTACAGTTGTGTGGCATTTTCTCCATACATGTAAGAATAGTTAAGGACTCGGCGAGGCTGATAAAATACATTTAATTAATAACATGTAAATAACAAGCCTATTAGAAGAAGTGGTAAACAGTCTGGTTGATAGTTATCTGAACATAACATTAACATGTCTTAAAGTATGCCCATAAAAAGAATAAAACAATTTTCATCCTTTGATCCCAGAGAGCTTTGTGCTTTTACTGAACTGCCATAGGCTGTGATAAGTTATAGTATGTCACAGAGCTGTCCTTGAGCATCAAACACAGCAACCACTTGAGCTCTGAAATGTCAGAGATAGATGATTGGCACACACCAGCAAAATAACCTTTTTTCTTTTTTGTTTTGTTTTTTTTCTGCTCTGCAGATTTGAAACTTTTTGTTTACTTTGCTATAATGGCCTGTTATTGTTTGAAAATAGTTGGTGGGTGATATGTAGGACCTAATTAAAACTGTGAATAAAACCATAAAATGTTCTGTATAAATGGGTACCATGGAAACAGACTACTTCCTTCCAAAATAAAGGTGTGAAACCAGGTTGCTGTATTAGTCCAAAGGACAGAGGGATATCGTATGCTGTAAAGCCCTGTGAGGCAAATTGTGATTTGTGATATTGGGCTTTATAAATGAAATTGATTGATTGATTGATTGACCCTGTTATATTAACAATGAACTGGCAAAAGTGGAACATTTATACAGGTAATCTAATTTCATGTATATAGCACATGACGTAACATGTAAACTTAGTGTGCTTAATGTTAAAAACTGATGTGCAAACCCCCACCCAAAGATAATTAGGAGCCCACAGCCACCCGAAGGACATAAACCCCACATATGCATACATACACAAAGCCAGTCAGTCAGACACACAAACACAGTAACTGATCATAAGACTGATAAAAACTAGAAACGTTTCAGTTTGCTGTTGAATGAAGATACAGTTGTGACAGAGTACAAGACTAACTCGCAGTGCACCTTCACCAGATCTAGATCTTTATTTCTGGTGCGGTTAGATGATGACCAGCTAATAACAATCATAACAACGGAGAGGGAGGTTGTAGTCGATGAGCAGGCCAGAAGTGGTTGAAGGACAACGTGTATGAAAAATGAACCTGTATTTTATGCTGAGCTAGAGTTATCAAATACTGATTTATTGACACATATCAATCTGAATATTTGAAACAGTTTCAATACCTATTTCCCATACTGTTAATACACAGGTAACAGCTGCACTTTCTTGATCTCTCTTATTGTTAATGTTTACTACAGCCTGTTGTCATGATACTTGAATTTCCAACTTCAGTACAGTACCATGACGAATATAGATAATAAATACTGTTTTTGATACCACAGGGAAAATTGACATTGAGGACACACAATTTCATTTTTTATGTAACATGGCTACAGTAAACAAGAGAGAGCAAGAAAGCACAGCTGCGGCGGTGCATCTCTACTGCAGAAAAAGAGTATTGAAATCAAGTCAAATATTTGTGATTACATTTATAAATGGATATTTCTGACAACACTACCACAGTCATTCTGCTTCTCTCTGCGACTAACCAAAAAAAAAACAAAAAGATGATGTTGTCCTGTTATTTATCAACAAAGTAAAATTTTATGCCCTCTGTTAATTTTTCCTGTGGTATCAAAAAAGGTATTGAGTATTGATTAGGGGTGGGAATCATCAGTGGCCCCACGACACGATAGTATCATGATTCTTAAGTCATGTTAAAACATTATTGTGGCTTTAAATGTTTTGCGATATGCGTATTGATATGAGTATTGAGATAACATATTGCAATTTCTTACCTATTTTCAAAAGAAAAACTGTCAACAATCTGTCTTATTTAATAGGATAAAGTTGTCAGTCTGTTCATCTCACTTTAGTCATTTTTATTGCAGCAAGATGTATCCGGAAAAGCGGTTTATTTTAAACTTCTAGAAGGCTGCTAAAAGTTGAATTTGTATTTGCAATATTAATGATTTACAAAACAAAAAATCAATACTTGGTGTGTGTATTGATACAATATTGTCACACAAAATACCGCGATACCATGCTGTATCAGTTTTTCCCCCACCCCTAATATTGATATTTTTCAAGGTATCAAAATTAGAAATTCCAGTATGATGACAACTCTTATTTAAGTAGAGCAGTAATATTGGTGTCTTTGTGTGTACACGTGAGGATGCCGGCTGATGTGTGTTTAATGAGCTGCTTTGTGTTTCCTCTGTTAGATGCTTAAATTGAAGGCCTTTTCTGTCTAGATGACCTAATTAGGGAGCCCCATCTCACTGGTGGACAGTATCTTATTTAAAAGAAACTGTGGATGTGGTGTTGTTGACATGAAAGCTAAACCTTTGACCTGTAACCCACATGAAACACAAATATTTTTTTATATTGTGGTTGTGCTTTGGCCACAGTTCCGCGGAGTGTATCTTAGTCTGCTCAGTTATGCTCTCTTCCATGTGACACTCTAACTCTGTGTTTTTGTTCTTTCCTATAGATGAACCAGGTTTACAAACATTACACATTTTCACCCCCTTAAAATTCAACTATATTGCACTGTAACTTTTTCCTTAATTTGTGTTTGTGTGTATGTGTGTGTGTGTGCGCGCGCTCAGTGGTTTCAGCGAAGCCCCAGTCTCCCAAGCTGCCAAACCGTCACTCTCGACTCAGCTCCTTTGTCGAGGTGACTGCAGACGGCCTCACCAGTGAAACCAAAAAAACAGGCAAACGCAGCGGACACCTCGAGCTGCAGTGGAATGAAGACCTCACCCTGTAAGATCACCAACACACAGACAAATACACACACTGACCTTTATACCATCCTGTAGTTTATTGTTGCTAAACATGTTTGAACCATTTTATAGAACATAAAAAATCAGTTTCATCCTGCTCTGTCGTTATGCTGGAATGTTCAGCTGGTTCCACTGTAAAAAAAAATTGTAGTTTATTAAAAGTGAAACTCAAATAATTTCATACAATTCCTGAGATAAAACAGATTACATTATCTACTGATGTTCAGTATTTGTGGTATTTTTAATGATGTGCGTTAGTGTGGTAACAAGTCTCAGTAGATAATGTCTTGATAATGTGTTCATAATGTCTTGATAATGTGTTTCATATTTTTCACAGTAATGTGACACCTCAGAGTCGTCTGGATCTGAAGCTGTGGAGCTGCCACACCCTGAGGAAGGAGCTACTGGGCAGCGCCACTATAGACCTGCTGGACACACTGCGCACACACGATGGCAAGAGTAAGGACACACGCACAGAGACAGATAATTAGAAAAGGTGATAGATTTCTCCAGTGTTTGAAGGGTACAGTTGGTATTTTTCAACCTGGACCCTTTCCCCCATGTTTTTGTGTCTAAGTGACTATTAGGAACAACAGTTTTTGTAAATGGGTCCAGTATTGAGCGAGAGCACTGCAAACGGAATAATCTGTAGGGATCCTTTTCACAATTGTCGAACCCTTAGAATAGTCTGAGCCTGTTAGTGGCAACAACAGGCACTTGTAGCGGACGTAAATTGACGATGTGATCATGCCCTGAATGGTTACACTGCAGCTTGTTTCACCACTGCTGACTGCAGCACTCTCGCTCAATACTGGACTGATTTCAAACACTGTTGTTCCCATTAATCATTTAGACTGAAAAATATGGGAAAATAGGGTCCAGGTTGGAAAATACTGAACTCAGCCTTTAACATGGTACAACCGACTTAAAAGTAGTGTATTAACAAATGGAAAAGAGAGCTTAACGCACACACAGAATTAGAAAAGTGAGGGAAGTAAGGAAAAGGAGAAAAAACAGACAAAGTGTCCCTCCATGTCACTTATGAAAGTCTTTTCTTCTGAGGCTTTAAAGGCCACACTGAACCTGCTTCTCTCCTAAGTTTAGCGCCAAGAAGTTGCACGCAAATACTAAAGTTAACTTAACAAATTGTAAGAATTTTTCTTTAAACACATTACGGACATTTGCCGTGGACATATTTACCTATGTATGATGACCACTTGAAGGCAAATAGCTTGTAAATATGACGTGTGATACAGTAATTCCTTACTGCTGGTTGAAGCTGATTAGGTCCTTTCTGTTTCAGTTGTCCGCCTCTGAATTTGGACACAGTTTTAGTTCTAAAGGCTATGTTGACATTATAAGCAAATGTGGTATGAATCTTATTTTTGATGACACATGTCACAGGACACAGATCTGATATTTGAGAGTAGTGTGGACACAGAAATCTGATTTCTCCCAATCAGATTTGGGCCACTTTGATATGTGGTCCTAAATCTGATGCATATCCAATCACTGGCCATGTGAGAACGGTCAGATCAGACTTCATGTGTGTTTTTCCCATACATCCATGGTCTTTCCACTTCACACTTAACTGGGCAGGTGCAGATCACTCACCGTACAGTGTGAGAGTGGTCCATCGTACCTACAGAAGGCTGTTGGAGCCACATCGCTGCTGCTGTAAGCTGCCCCAGTAGCCAGCCAATAGAACCTGACTGCCAGGCTCTCTGACAGGCACAGCTTGCCTACATGCCATGACAGCATTGTCATGAGTTGCCAATAGAGATATTGAAATGTAGCCTTGGTCATACTAAGGTTTTGGAGGAACCCTCCACATTGCAGCCCCACCACTCCCGACTTCTCCCACACCTGTCTTTTCACAGAACTACCAGCAATAACTGCTAATAGAGATTTACTTTTTGTGTTCCTTCGTCTTTTCACCCTTATGCCATTGTCCTGACAGTTTATAAACCTGAAGCCTCAATAGTCAATAAAACAAATGCACATTGCTCTAAAGATATAGCTGCACACTTCCCCAAACAGAAACACATGGCTAATTATATGCAAACCTGAATGTGATCAGTGTAGACAGGCTAGATGGATCTGGGGAAAGACTCAGAATTGAGCATTAAGCCCTGTAATGTTAAAGTCAAGCTTGAGAATTTGTTTCACAAATCTAAATGCATTGTCTAAAATGAGACAGAATTAACTTTCTCCATTATGCTTATAACCAGTAAGGTTGAACTCTAGGACAGACGCAAAAGTTATGCACCACTAAATGTATTACACAATGTCCAGCAGTGACCATATTCTGGTCTGGTTTTATCTTTGGAGTAATGAAATGCCTGATCATATCCTTCAGGAGATTCAGAACATTCACCTGACTCATCCAGATTTCCTCTGCTGACTAACTTGGAGATATTGAAACAAATAGTGCTTTTCAAAGTAACTGCCATTGGTGACTTGCTGGAAGCTGTCTAATCCTGTGTCGGAGGAGATTGAACAGTGTGACACATTGCCATGATTGCATTTCCCATCATGTACCACCCACCTTAAAAGATGTGCATTACTGGGTGTTTTTTTTTTGAAATTGTAAAAGTTTTGATACTATATACTGCCACATTTGAGTTGCACTTCTTATACTGATCTATATTTTACGTGAATCAAATACTGTTACAATATTTGTAATATTCGTATTATTCTGATCATAGAATAATTTAAGTCTAGATGAGCATTCAGTGCTATCTTTTAGCACCTTCCTCTTGTTGTTGCTGTGGAACAATTTAGACAGCAGTCAGTGAGACAGTTTTAACTTCTTGACACTGAAGTGGCACTTCTGCTTCTGAAACCACTATGAAGAAAAGCACGACACCATTATTCATAAAGATCGAATGTTACTCAGCTCTGTTGGCTAGTCTTTGCTCATTTAATACCTCGTCTGGTCACAAAAGTCTCAGCAGGGTGGCCTTCCACTGTTATTGCCAGGGAAGATAATACACTATGGGTTCACACAGTTTCCTCATTTTAGAGCAATAGCAGAGGATGTCAGATTTCCTCGCTTTCATCTCTCCTCACTCCCCCTCCCTCCAGCTCCAGCTTCTCCCTCTCTCCTCCACCTTTGTCCTCTACCTTCTCAACCACTCATCCCCTTTCTCTGTCGTTCTTCCTCCCCCCTCTAGTGGAGAATGTCCAGCTGAGTCTGGTGCTGCAGACGGAGAACAAAGGCTCGGTTGTAGCGGGAGGCGAGCTCAACGTCTGTCTCGACGGCATGGTTGTTGATCTGGGCACGCTGCCGAATGGCAGCACGGCAGCAGACAGTGAGTCCCGCCTTTACCACACACACACACACACACACACACACACACACACACACACACACTCTCACACAGAAATGAAGGTAATAACACAGAAATTCACAGAGAAGCACCAAGAGAGGTGATCACACTGAGGCCATGTTCATACACACATATCACTGCTGTCATGTGAAAAACTCCAGAGTGCGATATTCATGTTTGATGGAAAATAAACCTTTTTAAAGAAGTGATAAAAGATAATGGTCAGTTTATACTGTGGGGAGTTTAGGAAGAGGTTATAGAGCACACAATAAGATTTAACCCCCATTTCAATGTAAAAACACACGAGAGTGCCATAAACAGCACTCTAATAAACTTGTATCAAATAAAATTTAATCCATAAAACATACAAACCTCTACAACCTTTAAACATTAAAATGCAGGGTGAAGTTGACACCAGGAACGGTTCTTGGCATTTTGGAAATACGAGGTTTTTACTTGTCAGTGAAGATATATTGAAGAGAACACACACACACCGTGTTACCACAGAAATCCAGACAGCTTATTAGTACAGAATACACCTCAATATTAAGCAGCTTCTCCTCCTCTCACTCTTTCCCTCCCTGGCTCTCTCAAATATTGCCAACATACGCACATGCACACACACACAGACACACACACACACACACACACACACATACAACATACACACAAACATCGATTTGTTTGTACAGTAGGATGTTCGTGTGTCTCCACCCTTGTAATGGGTGTTTTCCCGTCTTGGAAAAAGCCAGAGGCTTTACATTGTGTAAATCACAACTTTCCAAATCTACTCGTGCCCACATGGCTTTGAATTAATGGTGTCTGCGCCAATACACACATTTTGGTCTTTGTAGTGGTGAAATCTGGGTTTTGAGTCTTGTTAGTGTGTTGTGTAAGTGGTCACAGAGTTGTGCAATTGTACAGTTGCATGGCAGAATATTGTTATTATATGATCACTTGAAGTTGGATTGTTTATAACATTATTATTTATTAAAGTAAACTAAGGATTTCCCAAACCGCTCCTCCTCCAGTCTGCATGTTGAAGTATCCTTGGGCAAGATACTGAACCCCAAATTGCAAATGTGTGAGTGTGTGTGAATGTTTAAACTAAGTAGCAGGTGGCCACCAGTGGGTGAATGCGTGTGTGAATGGGTGAATGTGACATCAAGTGTAAAAGCGTTTTGAGTGGTTGAAAGATTAGAAAGACGCAATACAAGTACAATCCATTCACCATTTTACAATACCCATTACAACATTTGAGGTGATACTTAACTTTTTGCATTATTATCTTGAAAAGTTCCTTTATGTTTTTAATAAAATATAAGTGAAAACACTGGAAGTGTTTTAAACATTGTTAGCCCTCATACAGTATCCCTGGCCATGCACGTTCCTCATATACATCTTGCTGATGAATGTTTCTCATGTCACAAGAAGGGATGTTCCTAACTACTAATCTCCCTGACGTTTAGAAGTTTAAACTTTCTTACTGAAAGTAGGAAGACAGGCACAAAATTAAGAGGAATTCAGTCTGTAAGGTTAGACATTGTCCGAAAAAATACTACATATCTTAAAAAATCCACTTGAAAACTGTTTGTGGCATTTTTCAGTGACAAAATTGTACCTTGAATGTCGCTGACATATGTGGCACTTTGCACCATGTGTTCAGAACACTGCACATTTACGAAACATGACTGCAACTCACAAAATAAACGTTAACAAATAACATTTATTTACCAAGTATTTTATGTCCTGACTCCATTTTAAAACACACACACACATATATGTAGACGGACACATGTGCCTCCAAGAGCACCTCTCCTGTTCAGCCCAGTGATAAGACATCCAGCCAGTGCGAGTGTTTGTGAGATGCGGACATACTTTCCATGTTGAATGTCAGCTGCTAGCTGAGGACTCATACCAGTCACGCGATGCGCAGGCGGTTCCATTCCAGAGAGGGAGAGAAAGAGAAAGAAAGAGAGACGTTAATGATCAGAGCTGTTAATTTCACAGGCAGATACAAACTCCTCCTGCTTTCCTCTGGGTATCACATTGTATTTTGGTTACGACCAGCAAGGGTTACAACATTTACTTGACTAGTTGACTAATTGTGCACATCCCCTGCCTCAACAAGGTTCAACCCTGGACTAGCACTCTAATTAATTCTTCATATATATATATATATATATATATATATGCTGTGATCTAAAAATCTAATGTGCAGTTCTTCTGTTATTGTTGAGGATGCACAGTCCACCACTGAAACCCAGCAACTAGGTGGTCTTATAGGTGGATTATTACTTGTGCGTTAAAGGGTTACAGTGTAGCTACTCCAAAGGCTTTGCCATAGCTTACATACACCTCCTGCCCCTGTGGTGAGCTGTGGGATGAGCTTAGCGTCATCACTGACCAATGCTTTTAGCTTGTCCACTTTGATTTCCAGGTAACAGGGACAGCTCTAGGAAAGAGCAAGTTGGGTCGATCTTTCAGGTCTGTCAGACAAAGACGTGTGGCATTTTTGTCAGTCGATCCCCGAGGGCATCTTTTTACTCAGTGAGTTACAGAGGAGAGCCTGATTAATACATCGACATGGAGAAGTTTTTTGTCGGTTTCAGCTGATACAGGTATCTGGATATCAACACACATTTTGGCTAATAGGTAATTACAGTACAGAAATGCCCAAGATATGTCTGAGGTAATAATTTTTGAAGGTGTTGATATTAAAAGCTTATATCGGCCAAGATATGGTCATTACATTTTTATTCTAAAGATACATTACACAGTTTTGTAAAAAGCAATGTACAGACTAATACAGATGTAAGTCCTCTGCCTGTATTTTCTTATTTTCTTCTTTTTTTGCTGTGTTCTGGATGCTTCTAGGCACAGCACATAGGTGAGGTTGGGTTTTAATAAATTGGTAGTGACCAGGTGCCAGACTATATGCAGCACGCATCCAAGAGAAAGCTACAGAGATTGTGGACACAGTGTCAAGAAAAGACAAAACTCAAATCTAGCAAAGCAAAAGGCAAAGCGGACAAAGCTTGTTTCAAAACAAGTTTGAATCTGGGATTGCCTTTTGCTTTTGGTGGCGAAACTGTTCACAAACAGTCACTAACAAGTTCTGCATGGTATACCTTTAATAATGATATTGTTATCAGTCTCAGAAATAAGGCTGAAATACAGAGTGACCATTGGAGAACTCAGATTATATTAATATCCTCATTTAAATACTTCAGCAAAAGTCATTCATATGTTTTTGTCTAGACAGAACCACTGTACCTGCTTGTGTTGTGGCATCAGCTGTAAAGCCCTCTCAGACCTGTAATTGATCCAGAAAGCATCAGCTGGGTTCCTGTCAGTCTCAATAAATTTCCTTTTAGTGGCCCCATTTCAACTCAAGCCTGGCAACAGCTCTGCATGCTCTCCCTCCACAGAATATGTCTGGTCTCTGCTGTGACACACCTCTGCCTGTGGGCTGTTGTCACCAGGAAAAATGAGATGTGTCATGGAGCAGACTCAAATTAAAGTCTGATTGCACTTTTGCTATTTTAACCCCGAGACAGTGCAACACAGTTCCTTTAAATTTTGAGTCAGCAGAACGCAGTTACTTCTAAAATAGTCCCACTTTTACTCCAGGGTTTCTCTATGGATCTGTGATATATTTCTGTTACATTCATCATTAACTTTGCAAACTGCTTTTACCTGCCTTAATTGTAAAACAGTAGAGTGGAATAGCTAAAGATAACTGTCCTCAAGTGTTTGAATTATTCAGCCTACATGCCTGCAGCTATTTAAACTGTAGCTTCAGTCTCTCTGCTGCACTGTGTGAAACCTTACAGCAGTAGAGTTCAGTTTGCTTAGGGTAAGCCTATATGTGTATTTTTTTTCAGCAAAGTCTGGGTGTCAGTGGAGAGTTTTGAGTATGTTTCATAGTGGGTCGGAAGCTTTTCTGTCCTGCCAAGAATATTGTACATGTAACTTAAGGGTACGTGTGTAGGATTTAGGGGCATATTGGCAGAAATGTAACATAATATACATAACTATGTATATTATGTTACATAATATACATAGTTATGTATATTATGTTACATTTCTGCCAATATAACATAATATACATAACTATGTAAGCATTAGTGTGTAGTCACCTAAAACTTAGAATTGTTGTGTTTTTGTTACCTAAGAATAAGCCGTTAATATCTGCATACAGAGCTTGTCCAGGAAGTGATGTTTCAAATGGACAAACCAAACACTGGCTCCTGATAGGGCCATTGGTGTTGTCTTGGTTTCACGTCAACAGCTGTTGTTCTCTTACATGCTTTGCGCCAGTGGCAGCTGCTGGTCTTTCAAACAGGGGGAGCTCACTTTAAGTTTACATCATAAAATTTGTCATATTGTAGCAAGGCAGTAACTTATAAAAGGAACATTTCATTTAAGCTGTTTTTCAACCACACTCATGCCATAGAACCACAGCAAAACACACCTCAAAGATTTTCAGATGAGCTATATCACTTATGGAAATAAGGAACTCTGGACGGCACACTGTCAGAAGACTACTCGCAAATATCCCCACGTGGGACTGAGCTTGAAATGCAATGATGCCGGTCTGTATTTCCAAATCGCTGTCAATCACAAAGGGGCTCAGCCTTTTAGACAATTCCTCCAATCGTCATGCATACACCGAGCGTCCTCTCCCGCCTACCGCTCCTTTAGGTCCCAGGGAAGCTGAGCCTCCCTGGAAATGACAATTTTGTCGCATTTATCCAATGACTGTCTTGCTTTGCTGCATGAAAAAACCTGCTCAGTGCTGTCTCATAGGAATGCTTGGAGGCTCCGCGTCCACCGTGCTGACATGAGAATGTATGACAAGGAGGTCGCATTTGAAAACTGGTGATAAACAGCTGACTTTTGAACATCTTAGTCATGATGTTAAACGCTTCCTAGTGCACTTTTAATGCAATGTAAATTCTTATTTTAATGTAAATTCA